AATGCCACTGCAGTAGCAGTCCTTAACTACTTAGCTTTATGAATAAAGCTCGGTAACAATGATGTCAGACAACAATATTATAATATTATGTTGGCCAACAATATCATAAAATCCTACAGAGGTAGAAAGGCCTTTTCTTATTTACAGAGTGATGAGGCAATTTGAAAAGACTATTTATTCATCCTCAAAGTACACAAACCTGAACTGTTTAGCCTCATGGCAGTGAAACTTTGAATGTACACAGGCTAGTAAAACCTGTCTCTAAGCTATCATATGCCTCCGAGCTCAGATTTATACCTGCTTCCAGAGTAATTTTTATTGGAAAAGCTAAGGGCAACAAGAATATGACCAGCAAAGTTCAGAAGACAAACTCAGAAAGGAAAATTCTTGCCCAATAATGGATGTTGTGGTATTCAGCTGTGAATACTTAAGCTAATGCTGGTTTTGAAGTGCTATGGTTTCACATAGTCATCAGGCTGATTTACATCTGCAATTAGTGGTAACAATCTTGGCTTCTTTTCTCCCCTTTTTTTGAGGTAGGAGTCACATAATGAATTTGTAGAGGTGAAAACTGACAGCACAGTATTAATTTGGACAAAGTGCATGTAACACTGGATTATGTTTGTGTCTGTTCTGGCAAGAAATGGGAACACGAGTACAGCATGGGAGCATACACAGCTCAGTGGCAAAGTAGCACTGTACTTGGGAAGTTAGTGCTTCAACAGAAACACTATCATTAATTAAGCCATATCACAGTTCATGGAAAATATGCATCCCATCCTTATGAACTTACTGGAAGAAAAATGCCACAAACAAAAAAAAGGTACTTTGCACATACTGGTACTCACATGGGTTTTAATTAAATTGGGGTTTACAGTTGCTGTAATTAGAAGTTGAAGTACAGTAGAAAAGTATTGTATTTGGAGTTTTTTATTGTAATAATTTACTACACATTTGTTTAACTGAAGAAAAAAGCAGAAATGTGTTGCTTTATTGTGGGTTTTATTAAATCAATTATTAAACTTCACATCATTGTCTTATAAAATATTTATTTGTATTGCTGTCTCTTGTCATCATCTTTGATTCCTCCAGCACCTGTTCTTTGACATCTGAACACTCAAGCTTAACTCAGTTTGCTATATATAGAATGAATTGTGTCTCCCTCTTAGAACAGTTTAAGTCTTGCTATTTCCCATGCAGTAATTGCACTTTAGAAAATCCAAGCTGACAAAGCATGATAAAGGAGCAGCCATAAAACAACTGGGAAAACATTACTGAAACTTTACATTCACCTTGACAGGCCCTTGTTATCAAGGCCTATAGACTAGAAGGGATTCAAGAGAAAAAGCAGCGGATGGGGAAATGAGAACTAAGAAATGAATGCACCTATCTCAGGGAGACTCCAAAGTGTGCATTCCCTATTTAAGGTATAAGTAAATTCACATTGAAATTTGTATCTGCGTGCCCCACCTCTAATCCTTTTCTTACTCTTTATAAATTATTCAAAGCACAGATTGTCTGGCACTGCTCTGTTTAATGTAAGAATTCAATATTCTTCTGAATCTGCTATTAATCAACATCAAAAGGAATAATCATATTATCATTTATAATGCTCTTAGTGATGGAATAAATGAGCCCAACAGAACTATAAAAATAACCAAGCAGAAATAAGGAGTACACTTAACTTATAAGGACAGAGAAATATTCAGAAAATATCACTGGTTTGTAAATAAACTACCAGGACCTTGTGACTTAATACACCATAACAGCACTCAGGAAGTACAAGTGCCTATAAAAGAAGATAAGTTATTTTTATAGGCATTGCAAGGTCACCTTCAGTATCAGCTTAGAGGAAAGGGGCCTTCGTATAAATAAGATTCAGGTCTAACATCTTTCCAAGCAGGTCTGTAGCACATCCAGTTATTTCACACACACTCTTACACTACTCTTTTCCTTCTACAAAATCCCCTGCGTGAAATTAAAATGCATTTACTTAATGGGATTTCTCCCTCACCAAGAGACTCATAAGATTCAAGCAACCAGTGTCCCTGCTTTCCAGAGCTGTGTTACAATACTCTTTCTTACTGAAGAGCTAAACTCTTGTGAAAATTCTTCCACCTCTAACAGTCTACGTTGGGAGGAGATTTTTGATTTCTTATTCTTTGATAATCAACCATCTGTTTCTGAAGGATGGATACAGCCTTGATGACAACTTAATCATATGAGTCAAAAAAGCATTTTTATATCAAGCAGACTGCAAACCCTCACATCCCACTCATTCTGAACTGTTCTTATCCTAAATAAATGAACAGAAACCTACTTTATTTCTGAATGGTTTATTTGCTTAATTTTGTGTAGGTTTTTAGTTAAATTTGTTTTTAAATTGTATTTACATTTAGTCCTTTCAAAACCAGCAGAATTTCTTTAAAGACCAGCAAAATTACCACGTAAAATATCACACTTGAATCTGACCTTCAATTATTTTACTACTACATGTATTTGCTATTTCTTGCAGAATCACTACTGCTTGGCAGAGTGACTAAGAAAAGCAGCAGACTGGCATTTAGAAGTAGCTTTCTGACATAAAACAAAAAAAACCCCAGAAGACACCCCACGACTAACGAGTAGTAAGTCTTTTGTTCGGGTATTTCAGCAGAATCTCATGAGGATGCTGCATTGGTGCTTCACAGAGCAGGGTTGTTAAATATTATTTCTCTCTACAGATACTAAAAGAATATCAAAAAGAAAGATTACAGTTAACGAGATGGTACATACTTGACCCTCGCATCTTGATTTTTTATAGATTTCACGAGTTCCTTTTCCCAAGTCCACTGTCAGAGCTAGTATGACAAAACTACAACTAGTACTGTCTCCCCTGAAGTGTCAAGGCCTTTACAGAGTTCACCAGAAGATGGTGCACTGGCCCCAGCTTTAATGAAAAGGGCGGGGTATCGAGTTTAACTGCCGACACTTCTGTACGTCAAAGGAATACATTTTGCCGCAAATTTTTAAAATGACTTTTTGGTAAGTAGAGAAAAAAAGAAAGTAGTAATTTTTCCTAAGGATAACACAGGGGATTTAACGTTATCATAGATACAATAAGGAAAAGCACAAGCCTAGCACAGACTAGCTAATCAATTACTAGGAAGGATTTAAGATACTTCTTAAAGGTGTATACAGGTAAATATGGAATACAACGTTTAAATGACTCCCTCTGGTTCAAAGTATGTAATAGTAGTCAAAAAATAACCGGAAATCAGTTGTGGCTATGGGTATCTGAAATGCAACTAGAATAAATTATATTAATTAATGTAAACAATGCAAGTTTTACACTTTTTGTTGCTATGAAAATAAGTATTGGTCCTTTGGGGTGCTGGACTCTTGTTCTCAGGACAACATATAACTCCATTCTTGACTGTCTGCTTTTTTATAAAGGATCTGATAACACTTTTGATCAGAAACATACATTGAAGAAAGCAATTCTGTTTCAAAATAGGCAGATACAATAACAAATGTAGAATATAACTGTGTTTACACTACTGCAGTTGCTGGTATAATGTTGCCTTTCGATGTAGTGGATCAGGCTCCACAGAGAGAAAACACAGATGACAGACTCAGAACCACAACTTCCTTCCAGTAAAGCCTTCTTTCATTTCTTCAAACTATTAAGCAACTTTGTATTTTTTAGAAGTCACACCTTCAATTGGAAATGGAAATTGCCCAACCAGTTACAGACACTGGTTTCTTTCTGCTTAGGTATTTGCTTTAAATATAACCAAGATGGA